TTTATGGGAATGTGAACAGATAAAAGCATAATCACAATATGTTGAACGATTAAGGATAACAAGGTCAGAGCGATATACGTTCAAATAAAGTCCTTTATTATCAAACGTTCATTACAAAGATGCGAAAATATAAATAATGGATGCTCTACAAACTACAATCAAAAGTAAGCTAATCTCCCGGTTGATCGCTGAGTAAGAGAGTGAACTAGCCTCACACCGCCTTCCTAAATGCATCGCTGCGATGGTGGGATCGCCGAGTAAGAGGGTGGACTGGCCTCACCACCTTCCTAAATGCATCGCTGCAATGGCGGGTAAAGAAACTGAGAAGCACTCTCAGCAAGCAAACTGAGAAGCACTCTCAGCAAACAATGTGGCCCGCAAGCATCCCATAAATTGCCTTCTATCATCGACTCCTTGTAAAGGACAAAGAGACGATGGGAAGAACTTCGATGGTAAAAATTTTGCTGCGGGCCAAAAAATATTTCATATACCTCCCATACCAAAGGTGACATCAAGGCAAATAGTAAAATGGGCGGACTAAACAATCCATTTTTATAGAAAGATGAAGGTTTTGGATCGGATTGATTGCCGGAGTGCCAAACAATGGCAGCAAATTGGTTTCGAAGAAGAAAATGAAGATGAAGATGGAAGAAAATGCAAAGCATCCGTGCATTTATAAGGGGTGGAGATGAAGAGACAGAATATGAGCAGCCACATTCTGCCCAGTAAATGGAATTAAATAGCCCAAAGTTTTGGGAAAAGTGGTGGAAATATCAAAAGAAAATGGGCAAGATTTTTAGCACAAAGCAGTTAAATGCTTGAAGAATTGACGACTAAAAAACAAACGTCAAATAAATGCACAAGAAGTTAATATATATGTTCATTAATGATGAACAAAGTTACAAAAGAAAAAGGCATCATATGTCTTACTTACAGTCCACCCCATACTGAACGAATTCGTTCCCTAAGTTTTTTCGAATCCTAGTTCTACCGAGAGGAAGTGATGTTCAATTCGGCCACAACATCATCATCAACTTCCAACTTCTTGTACTGCTCAACCAAGGACTTAGTTCGCTCAATTCCCTGGGAGGCGTTGCATTTTTTAGCAGCCATTCTCGCCTTGCAGTCCTCCATTTTGGCTTGAAGTTCCTTCATCTGAGCAGCCAAATTAACCATCAAAGAGTCTTCAATTATGACTTCGGAAGAGATTTCTTTCAACTCGTCCTCAGCCTTGTTGATCTCCATACGCAAAGACTCTTTCTCAGATACGGCACGAAGATATTGAGTACTTTTGGCCTTTAGATCAACATTCTTGGCCAGCAAAGAAAGGACCTCGGAGTGGATAACCTTCAACGTCGCTTTAAAATTAGCAGAAAGATTGAGCGACGGAAGCGCCAGTGCTTGCTCCAACTTCGCATTCAAATGCTCAAATTTATCCTTATGTCTGGTAGCACTAGCCCTACCAATGTCCATATCCATGAAGGACACGTATTCAAATATCGACTGCTTGAGGAACTTCAAATCTTCCTATGAAGAAGCAGCAGGACGATCAGATGGAGCAGGGCGAGACGTCTGGACTTGCCCCCATGAAGCGAATAAGTCTTGGATAGAACGCACAATCTTGTCAGTATCCTGCAAAAAAAATTGCCAATATTAAAGATTTTCACTACAACGAACAAGATAGAAATAAAAGTGAAGCAAAGATTACCTCATCAACAATCGTGGAAGATGGCATGTCCTCAGCCAAGTCTGCCACCAATGACTCCTCCATTCGTAAGGACTTCCCCTTGTCTGAGCGAGAAGATGTTGTCACAACGGGCAGACTCATAGAAGTATCTGCAAAACTCAAGAGCAACAAATCAGAAAACAATAGCACAAGCAAAGGTAAGGCATCAAAAAACTGAATTACCTTCTGCCTCGATGTTTGGGGAGTTGACGTCCTGAGAAGAAGGTGGCTCATCCATGGGTTGTGATGAGGATTCTGGGACTGAAGATGTCTCTTTAAGTGTAGTCCTCTCATCAGTCGGTTTGGATGAAGCAGCCTCAGCGGAGGATGATGGAGCAAGAGCTGTCGATGCCAAAGCCTTTGAAGGAGAGGCTGAACTTTTCTGAGAAATCCAAAAAATCATCAGCACACAGAAAAGTTTCAAGTATGGAAAAGTATGCTTGTGAGTAAACCAATTTAATTACCTTCCTCCTGACGATAAGAGGGGTATCATCATCATCATCATCAACATCATCCTCCAGAATAGGAGATGCTGAGGCTGGCCGTTTGCGGCTTGGGGTACTCTTGGCTGTAGTAGGCTTGGCAGGGAGAGAAGAAGATGGACGAGCAGACTGTTTAGCGCGACGAGGAGGAGAAGGACTCCGGATAGACAAAGGAGTGACTAAAACAGGAGGAGGGGAAGAAATGCTCGGCTGGTCTAGTGAATGAAAGGCACGATTGGCATCAACTGCAAATAATCTGTGCTTCACTGACGGCCAGAACTATTCAAAAAGAGGATGGATGGCATGGCTAGAATTGAAGGGGGCTAATGAAAAATAGCTAGTTAAAAGAAGATCGCGAGCATTTATAGCATCTGCCTCCGCCTTATTAATAATATGAAAACGGTCAAATAAGTTCCTTGAATAGCAAGGAGGAACAGGCCAAGTTTGGCCGAAACCAAGCTGGCGAGCAAAAAATTAGGTAGCATAAATTTCTACCCCTACCTTGGCATTGGTCCCAGTCAAAATATCATGAAATAGCTCCCTCCCGGTTAAAAACTGAATCCAAATGAGCAGGGAGGTGCTCGCGATGTCTATAGTGGAGGGAGGATGTACATAGTTTGGAGTCAAAAAAGGAGGAAAAGGAAAAAAGGAAGAGATTGAATCCAAAGAATAAAAGAATGAAAAAATGTCCCTTCTGGACATATTTACAGGAGCCAAGGGCTCCATGGCTAGCCCATAACAGCTAGCAGAGGAGCGAGAGATTGATGGAGCACCAAGCAATGGAAAATACGATCTCAACCACAGTTGAGTGAACCAAAGAGGTCCACTGCCAGTGGGAGATGCACCATTCTTCAATTGAGTTTGAAGAGAGGCCATGCCTCTATAAAGGGCAGCCAAAAAGAAAGAACATAAATTCAAAGGCCTACCATGTGCCAATTCGTGCGCTATAGGTAAATAACTCAGGGAGGGCTTTATGCTTGACACACACAAAACATATTTACAAAGCCAAACTAGAAGAAAAGCCACTCGCTCAGTATGGGAAGGCTCAGCGCTCGAATGATTGTGAAGGGTTTGCAGGCTTGAATAAGATTCGGTGTAGTTTTTACCAAACTTTGGGGCGCCACCAGAAACCAAGATACCAGGAAAAATGGTATCGCCCAAAGGTGGTAGATTCACCAGAGCCCCAACATCCCTTAAAGTAATAGACATGGGGCCAAAAGGGAAAATAAAGGTATTATACTCAGAAGACCAAAAATTCAAAGCAATCGAAAAGAGTGCTGAATCAAAAGTAGGGGGATGAATAGAGATTTCTAACAAATCAGAAATCCTAGTGCTATCAAAAAGTGCCTTAGTAGGGCCATGACCTACAAGACGAGCATGCCACCTACGGAAAGCTACATCAGATTTAGGCCAAGTGCAAATACCTCTTTCGCGAAGTGGCCCCAGCGGCAGAGAGTTTAGAAATGGAGGGCCTTGAGTACAAGGAAACAGCTGACCCACCGCCGCCTGTTCAATTGCCTCTGCATTGTTGAAGAAAGGACCTAAGTAGAACTCATTGCGTTCAACATCGGCAGGAGCGAGAAAACTCGGAGTTATGTATGGACGACTCAGAAGTTTTTGAAAGTCATCAAAACTAAAGGAATCGCCAGCTTGAGATTGTGAAGTAGCCATTTGAGATGGAACGAAGTTTTTCAGGGTTACGTAGCAGGGAAGCAAAAGATGAACAGTAAATCGTGGAAGAGACGAGAAAAACTTGAGGCGTGATTTAGTGGTGCAGTGAAATGGCGTGTTTGGGGGTTATAAGGGTTTGCAAAACGATGCACCTTCTCAAGTTATGGAAGAAAACAATGATTGAAATTCTTGAAAATCTCGAATGTTGCTGAAAACACAAAGTAAATATTGCAAAATTTAATAATTATTATTAATTCTGCCATATTGGGGGTAATTGTTGACACATAAAAATTCAGCCCAAATCGAACGGCCCAAGGAATGAAGCCCAATTGGAGAATCCCCAAATCAGACAGCCCAAAGAACGAAGCCCAATCAAACAATTCAAGATGAAGGCCCAAATAGGAAGGCCCAAGAACGTGGTAATGCCATCGCCCAAGATTGCAAGTCGCCCAGAATCTGAGCGAATAGAGTGCCATGCAGTCGCCCAGAGCTACTACTCTATTCTCGCCAAAACCTTCAAGTCGCCCAAAATCTTAACAAATATAAAGCATTGTGGTTATCAAGAAGTGCAGTTATCAAAGCAGCCCCATCACATTCCACGATTCAAAGAATTCAATCGAAAACAGTTGAACGACGAAGAGTAATGACAGCAGTTAAATAAGGCAGTTTTCATGACAAGCTGGCCATTATGAAGAAAGTGGGCAGTTGCAGAACGATCAAGCAGTTTTTAGGCGGTTGATCACAAAGAGATCGTCCATGAAGTATAAAAGGGAGAAAAGACATAGAGAAAAGGACCGAATCAAAAACTCTTGAACAGAGAACATGTAATTTTAATTTCCTTAACTTAGATTTAAACACTTTTTTCAGTAACTCGTGTGCTTGCGCCCCTTGGAGGCACTTTGTTTTCAATTTCCAATTGTAAAGTAATCGCCAGTAAAAGAACACCCCTTTTTGAGATTTTGTCTCAAGAGGTTTGTCCCTTACACAATCGTCTGATCCCTTTTAATTGTTAGCGACTAACCCGCGCGAAACAGTGAGACAGATTGCTTTTTATCAAACAACATGTACTTGATATGAAAAGTGGTTGAGCGTTATTCATTTTCATAAGCCATTTTCGTTTTCAAAGTGTTGCATAGCTGTTACAAAGAAGATCAATTATGATATGATTGACGATAAGTGTTTTTATCAGTTTGGGAAAATGGTTTAATTGAGATAAATTTTGAGCTTAGTGACTCAATTGAATTTTATCTGGTAGCTCAGTGACCGTAGATGAAATTTACCTTTAATTCTATTTTTTCTACCGCTTCTTCCATTTCCCTTGATATATCGCCCTGAACTGTGCTTTCTATTTGCTTTACGTTCGCCGACGCACGATTTGACTTTATTCGAGAAACCTCGTAATCATTGGCGATCGAATTCTCTTTGACGTCAGAATCGTCGTTCAAGTTCTTCAATTCATCAGCCAATTACAGGTTAGCTAAATCATTATTTAGATTATACGTACTAATAATGATGGCAATACGCACGTCCAGTTATGCAATGTGGATTACAAATGCTTTACATATCATTGGTAGGAAATCAATTACGTGATCGATATCAATGGGTCTTCATTATTATTTACAATTTTACTATTTTTTGTGAATTTCGTGAGTTGCTGATTTGGTGCCGACTTACTGTTTGATAAAATTCTTGAAAGATCACTAATTAGTTCTTTAGGACCATTGTCTTGCATTCATTTTTCCCTTCATCTTTTAATGTACTAATCTTGCATTACATTGGCCAACCTTATTACCGCCAACCATTTCAGCAAAGGCTGACTTAGCTTGAAGTTGGGAGAAGCTAAGGCTTCCTGGTGCTTGAGATTTGCAGGTCTGTGACATTTGGCTTAAAATAAACCTTACTGGAAAGGTTTTCGTTTTTTTTGTTTAACCATTTGCTGCAAGTAGATGTTCAAAGATCAGATTTTTGTATTGCAGAAAAGCATATAATGCAACGTCTAGGATCAAAGTATTGTAGGAGGATATTATCTTCTGTTGCAGCTCTGAGTGGAAATGGTCCTAGTTCTTTTAGAATTTCGAAACAGTCTTATACTACCGTCTCAACTTTGCCAAGAAATTTTAACAATGTGCAGAAGCCTACAAATCCTGGTGAATCCTTGAAGTGGGGTTCGCTTGGTTTCTGCAGGACATCAAGCTTTGCAACTGGATTCACACCATTGCAACGAAAGCCCTTGGAGACGATTATTGATATAGAGAGGGCAAAGAATAAATCGATCGAAGAACTTGCAGACATTTGGGATGATGTAATTCTTTAATCCCCATTGAAGATTTTTTTCCCCTACTTGACAACTCTTTTTCACTTTGTGGCAGTTTTTTGCTTTGCTTCTCTATTTTTTCTGATATTCTAATATAATTATATTATATCTTAAAGTGATATTGTGAATCAATTAAAGATTTGGGCTCATAAGCAGACATGTTTGTTTAGCTTAACGAATTTGCTCGGAGAATCTGTTTAATTATCGACTGTGTTTACTAGGCCAATAATGGATGAACCTCGTCATCCATTAATATCCCGTACGTAGTAATTCCCATTAATGGTGTACTTTGTTACCTCATTATCGCTAAAAGTTCAATTGTAAAAGGATGAAATGTTAATCTTTCTCAGATGATCAATAAATGTCCTTATCGTGTAGACTGCATTTGGAAGAGATTAAAGCAGAATTTATATATTTCTTCGTATCCATTGCACTGGGTGAATGACATACTAGTTAATTTCTCTCAATTTTTGCTATAATGTAATCACTTTTTAGCAGATTTAAGTGCTTTATGAATAAAAACTGTCGATATAGAGATATCCTCTCTCAACCTTTTTCTTCAGTGAAATTTTCGCCAGTATCGTTAGTAATAGTTTGACAGTTGTCTGGGCTATATTTCAGTATCACTTGGGAAGAGGCCATATTGGTGTAACAATGAAAGCAACATTATACCATTTATTGAGTCAAAGAGCTGCAGATTGGTATATCACCTTCCTGATTATTGTTTTTGATTATGTCATCCTTCCTTGTTTGTTGACGTTCTTAATCTTTCTCTGAAGCCGCCATTTTGTGATTCCAATGTGGAAAGGAAATGGTTATACAACCATGTTTTTGCAAGGTTGGACCTGAATTAACATTTTTCGGCAATTGATTATTGTGGATTTTGTATGCTTCATGCTGTTTATTTACGTATTGGAACTATCATGCAGTTCAGATGCCACACATGCTTTTCACTGGTCTTGAGGATTACAAGGCAAGAGGAACTCAAGCTGCTCCGTACTTCACTGCTTCATACTACACAGAATTTGCAGAGGGCAAGGACTTGGTGCTTATTCGTGGAGATATCGTGTTCACTAGCAAGCTGACCGACTCAGAGGCAAAATGGCTTCTCGAGACTGCTCAATCATTTTACTTAAATGATATCAGGTACAAAATGGTCGAGCGTTTCAACAAAGAAACCCGTGAATTTGAGTTCAAGGATGTTTTGCAGGCATTAGATATGCCTGTTTTGTAGTTTACTAGGCTATTATTCTTTTAATGATTTATCAAAAGATTATGCCACTTAGATTAGATGTGTTTTTATCCTTGCTTGTCAACCGTATTGCTTTTGAACTACATACCGCAACTTTCCGGCACATTTGTGATATAATTGTTTAGCTTTTATGGCAACTTGATTCAAATATAGTGATTCATACTGAAATTCTTCATCCCCTCTCAATTTAGTTAAGAGGAGGAAGTAATGGAAAGGATAGATTCAAAATAACTATTAAATTCTTTGTTGAAATTACTAGAAAAATTAACCAAAAGATGTTCTAATTTTTAGTAAAATAGGATATCATTCTTGTGTTAGAACCTTGAAAAAAAAGTACTTTACTCTAATTCACAAGGCTTCAACTTTCAAGAATTTTTACCCTAGTTTTTACTCAAATCTATATATACAAAAAGAAAAGGCCAAAAAATAATAATAGTAATAATAAAATAAAATAAATGTGGCAATCTCACATTTTTTTAATATTCGTTATCAGGGAAAATTCACTTCCTGATGACAAATTCTTCTCCTGATTGTGTATCAATGTGTTTGATCCATTTTTTCTTGTCCCCCTTTCCATTTCCTGTTTTTGCCCCCACATGAGCAATATCTAGCCCCTTCCCCACAGGCAAAAACACTGATCTCACAATTCTTGATTTCCCATCGACGAAACTTCGCCACATGAACCCCAAGGCTTCCCTCGAGCCTGTGTTCTTGCACACCAAAACGGCACCTCTTTGGCCTAATTTAGCCACCTGAAGTATTCTGGCATACTCGTCTTGCTTGCAATCCACCACGAGGAAATCAATCCCATCTAAACCTTCCATGGCCTCGTCTGGACCCCCAACGATGACTTGGACGGACAAACCAGGTTTTTGTACAGCGTTATAGTAATTTGATCTTGATTCTTCGTCTGGGACTATGCAAATATGCCTTCCACCCGTGTGATTGCTTGCAACCGCAAGGCCAATGCTCGTGGCTATGTCCCCACCTTGACACCATGTTTCGACTATTAGCCTGGCGTTCCATCCTGCAGCCATGGCTGATACAAGTTCAGCTACGCTCGATTCGCTAAAAGTTTTACACTGCACAGAAACAAACCATTAGAAACTTTAAGTGATCAGAATTAACAAGTAAATAAGCAACTTATAATTAGAAGATTATACTTACTGATTTTACAGTGTCAATATAAGCTTTTGAGGCTGTTTCTGGGGACCAAACTAGCTTCATGATCTCTTTTGCTGCTTCTTCAATTCAAGTTGTGTTTTTTCTTTGCTGAAAATGTTGTAGAATCTGTGCCAAATTTGGCTTTTAAATCAGACAAAAGGCACTTAGAAATGTTTATGTCAAGCCGTTGACATTACTCCAATTTGAACATTAGTATTGCAAATGGATTTCCTATTGATTTCATTTCCCCGAGTAGCCGACCCACTCAAATTATAATCTTTGTTTAAAAGTTCTCGCTCTTAAAATACAGGTTTTTAGAAGTATAATTTAAATAATACTATCAAAATAACTTTTTGATTCTCGCAATATCATTTGAATTAATTTTCGTCTTCTAGTTTGTAACACGTTTTAGTATAATAATCAAAGAGCCGGCTCGTGATTTTTTATTTATTGGATATCAACTCGGTACTTTGAAATTAGGTTACTCGGTGCCAACTTTATACAACCAAAATAAATAGATTACTATTAATTAAACTAATATTTGCTTATAATTTAAGCAATTACTTTGAAGTTATGTAATGGAGAATCAGAATTAGATTACAATGTATAACGCGTTGATAGTGAAAGCCCTCATCTTTTTTTCAATCTAAATCCCAATGCAATAATTATAATTAATTATTTTCACCTTTTTGTCAAAAAATAAGCAACCGAAAGTAATGTCCTCCGTGGACAATATTAGACATAATTGTACACGATAATACCAAAAAAAAAATTTAAATGTTGTCCAAAGTATTGTACAAATACAATGCTAATATACCACAAGAACATATACATATATATCCTTAACTTTGTTTCTCCGTTGATTATATCTTAAAACTTGGCCCAAAACGAGTGAAAGGTTCAAAATAGTTTCAAGAAACAATCTATTATGAGTCTTAAAACTTTCTTTCTTTGAACGAAACTCAGAGTAAATTAAAAATAATGATAAATAAAGAGGTCATTGTTAGTGTGAACTAGGCGATGCCTTAACTAGTGCAAAGCACCAAAGCCCTAAATGACGTGACAAGATAAATGTTTAATCAATCATGAATTTTATGTATCTAAAATATTATTTAATCTAATATATGAAATACAACTTAAAATCATACTTTACTCTTAATATAATAATTTTTTATTTAATTGCAAGTTGTGCTAATCCCTTGTTTGATCAAAGCAAATGACAGGGAAATGAATGATTATAAGTTTTGAATTTTTTGTGACATAAGTGATATAGATATGCATTGACTTTAACTAGCATTTTTACACTATTTAGGCCAAAAAGATCCTTTTTAGAAAATGTAGGAAACTTACGAAAAGCAAGAAAAATACTATTTAGGCCAAAAAGATCCTTTTTAGAAAATGTAGGAAACTTACGAAAAGCAAGAAAAATATTTTTAAAAAATTCATTTTAACGTAAAGACTTAGTTTGCTGTGTCAAAAAGAATAAATAAGAATATAAATTAATATTATAAGAATCAAACTGGATTAATCAATTTGATAAAAAAATAAAAAATAAAAGGATAAAGATTCAATCCAAGTCACATTTCGAAAACAACAAATACATCTTAATTATTTTTTTCTTTAATCTATCACGTTTCTTTAGCCCTTGTTTGATCATTATTTTTAAAATGTATTTTTCTCTTTCTTTTTTTCGATCACACATTTTTTAATAAAATAATATTATACGTATATTCAAATTTTTTTATTTTTTAATCATATATTATTTATTTATTATTTCAAAATGCATTCATACAGTAAAATGGATCTCAAACATCGCTTAATACAACACATCAACACATGGTAGTGTATTGGAATAAATAAACTCGAGCGAAAGCAAATATGTGCTGCCAACTGCGTTGACCACAAACTTGTGAATTCAATCTCATTGGTTGGGATGATTGCCACGTCACATTTACTTTTTAAAATTACCAACTGACACCTGATTCTATATGTACGACAAAAAAAAAATGAAATGAAATGTGCATAAAATATAGTAGGATAATGCTGTGTGTACATCTGATGGTGTACACACAACCTTACACCCCCCTCACAGCCACGAATATTATATTACATGTGGGCCCCTCCATGTCAGGAGGGTGTAAGGATGTGTGTACACCATTGTGTACACACAGCACAACTCAATATAGTAATATGTTATCTGTACAACAAATATGCTACACTTATACTCTTTTTGACATCATCTTTGACAGTCCACTCACAACATACAAGTGAACCCCACTATTTTTAATTGTGGGACCCACTCATGTTAGTGGGCTATCAAGCTGAGTGTACAACAAGTGATATACACTCAGCATAATTCTTTGTACAAGGCTATTTACAAATGTGGTTGACAAAATAAGTGTTGACAAAATTTGAATCAATGATTTTCAATGATTTAAAATCTGTTTTTGAAATAATTAGTGTAAATCTTACTTTGTCAACTAACTTTGTATATATAGCATAACTCTAAAATATATTGAATTCATGTGCATAAAATATAGTATTATGCTATCAATAAGATGTGTTTATAAATTTGGTTGACAAAATAAGTGTCGAAATTAGATCATTGATTTCTAATGATTTAAAATATGTTTTTCAAATAATCGGTGTAGATATTACTTTTTCAATCAATTTTCTACGTATAGCATAACCCTAAAATATATCAACATCTAAAAATGGGGACTAATTAAGCCTCTGTTTGACTACAAATGTTTCAAAAAAAAAAAAATTCTATATACTCATTTTTAATCATACATTTATATAATAAAATATTATGAAAGTAAATTAAATTTTTTTCTACTTTTTAGTCAAACATTCTCATAAAAATCATTTTTCAAAATATTATTATTTCCAAATAATAATTGTCAATCAAGAGATAAATAAACGATCGCTAATTTATAATTAATCAACGATACTAAATAATTGAAGTTTAAAATGTAATTCGATGAATAATGAATAATAATACAAGTTATACATCCATCACTTAGATGGATTCCATTTTATGGTGTTGACACACAAAAAGTTCAACCCAAATCGAATAGCCCAAGAAATGAAGCCCAACTGGAAGATCCCCAAAAATCAAAGAGCCCAAAGAATGAATCAATCAGGCAATACAGGATAAAGGCTCAAATAGAGAAGCCCATGAACGCGGTAATACCATCGCCCAAGGTTGCAAGTTGCCCAAGATTTGAGCGAATGAATTACCATACAGTCGCCCAAAGCTGTGACCCTGCTCTCGTCCAAACATTCGAGTCGCCCAACATCTTAGCAAACATAAGATGTTATGGTGCAGTTAATAAAGCAGTTATTGGGTAGTCCTACCACGTCCCACGATTGAAAGAATTCAATTAAAAATGGTTGAACGACAAAAGTAATGGTAGCAGTTAGAGAAGGCAGTTTCATGACAAGTTGGCCACTACAAGGGAAGTGGGCTGTTATAGAGTGATCAAGCAGTTTTTAAGCGGTTGATCACGAAAAGATCATCCAGAGAGTATAAAAAGAAGAAAAGACATAGAGCAAAGGACCCCGAATCAAACACTCTCAAACAGAGAATATGTAACTTTCAATTTCTTAGTTTAGATTTAAACACTTCTTTTACAGTAACTCGTGTGCTTGCGCCCCTTGGAGGTATTCTGTTTTATTTTCCAATTGTAAAGTCATCGACAATTAAAATGCCCCTTTTTGGGATTTTGTCTCAAGAGGTTTGTCCCTTACACAATCGTCTGATCCCTTTTTAATTGTTAGCGACTAACCCGCGCGAAACAATTTGGCACGCCCGGTGGGACAGTGGTGTTTGGTGTTGAAGATACAAAAGGTGAAACAATATGCCTCAGAGATCCGATAAGGAAGCAACAAGTCAGGGAGGAGTCCAGTCTGTAATCGAGCGATATGAGGAGCAGCACAGCTCTCCACGAACAGATGGACAGAATCAAAGCAGTAACAGTCGTTACGAATCAATGGCAGAGTTGAGTCCTCGAACTATGCGTGCACTGCTTGGATAACTCACACAAGATGTCGTTGAACAGGTAAATCTTCGAAATATTCATAATATGGAAAGATTTACCCAGAATGGGAATGCACATTATGACAACATGGCCAAACAACTAAATACTTTGAATGAAATAATGAATAAGTTAGTAGGCCAAATTTGTCAACCAATTATGCCTCTTGCAAACCATTTTCAAACTAGGACAATTGTGGGACATAATTCCCCAGTCCTAAATCCAAGTCAAGGGGCAGAACCAAATTTCGGTTCCTCTATTTCAAACCAAGGGGATGGTGTAATGCCAAATCAGAATAATGGTAGTGGTACGCCTAATTTGGTGGGTAATCCAAATATAAGAGATAATGTCCTAAATAATGGGCAGAATACCCCACGTGTTAATGAGAGAATAAACGTTCAGGCCAATGGTCCAAATCATGGTAATTTTATTCCTAATCAAGGACCAAATATCAAGCCTCAAGCAAATCAACCGGTCAACCAACCTGTAGGGATTCCATATGACCCCAACGTCATGTTGAGGAATCAGATCATGGAAATCGTACAGGACCAGATGACTTTTGGGGTACGTCCTGTCATTAGGCCGACTTACACAAAGTCATATCCTGATTGGATAGACCAAACATATCCATGGCTTGGAGGGTATAAAGTGCCAGAATTCTCACTGTTTACCGGTTTAGGGGAGGTGTCTACTCTAGAACACATAGGATGATTCACACTGCAAAGTGGTGACGTAACTGATTATTATAAAATGAGGCTTTTCCCTAGTTCATTAACAGGAGTAGCTTTCTCCTGGTTCATCAATTTGCCAGCGAATTCTGTTCAAACATGGCAACAATTGGAACAATTATTCCACGCTCAGTTTTATAAGACTGAGTCTGAAGTTACTTTGGTCGATTTGGCGAACCTACGTCAAATGCCAAACGAATGGGTAGAAGGTTTCCTCCAAAGGTTCAAGACAGCAAGAAATAAGTGTTTTGTACCTCTGCCCGAAAAAGAGTTTGTCAAAATCGCTCAAGGTTGTTTGAGTTTTGATTTAAAAAAGAAATTACAATACAAGGAATTTCCTGACCTTTTCCAATTGAGCGCAAACGTGATTAGGTATGAACGACTGATAAGAAAAGAAGAGCAGATATAAAATTCTAGCAAGGGGACTTATTATAGAGACCCAAATTTTGATGTTCATACCATCAATAACGAGTCATACGTTCAGACCGAAATGTGTTTGGCCGAATTAGTCAAAGGAG